TATCATTCATTCAGTAGCAGATCAGCAGGATGTTCGAAGAATGGGTGGCCTAATAAAGTTTTTACCTGTTACTTATTCTCTAATGATGGTAGGTACTATTTCATTAATGGCACTTCCTTTTGTTTCGGGTTACTATAGTAAAGATCTTATATTAGAATTAGCTTATAGTCGGTACAGCTTTAGTGGGGTTTACGCTTTTATACTAGGTTCCTTAACTGCTTTTTTAACTGCTTTTTATAGTTTTAGATTAATTAGTTTAGTTTTTTTAACAAAACCAAATGGGCCAAAAGAAGCTTATTTAAATTCACATGAATCAAGTTTTATTATATTATTACCTATGTTAATGTTAGGGTTATTTAGTATTTTTTTTGGTTATATTTTTTCAGATTTATTTGTAGGTATAGGTACCGATTTTTTATCTGGAAAAGGTAGCGATGCTTTATATATTCACCCGGATAACATAACATTAGTTGAAGCGGAATTTAGTTTACCGATATTAATTAAATTATTACCTACTATATTAAGTATAACAGGTGCTCTGCTAGCTATTTATATGTACAATAAGAATATTTATTTTATTATAAAACTAACAGAAAATGGTTTTTTCTCAAAATTATATACCTTTTTAAATAGTAAATATTTCTTTGATGTAATATATAATAATTATATAATAACTAAAGGATTTAAATTAGGTTACAAAGTTTCTGAAGAATTAGACAAAGGTGTAATAGAATTAGTAGGACCTAATGGATTATCAAATATTTTAAGTAAAACCGCAAATAACATAGCTAAATTAGATACAGGCTCAATTTCTTCATATATTATTTATATTATATCAGGATTTATGTTTTTAATTTTATTTACTTTTGCTCCTTTAGTTTTAGATAATAGTTATGCTGATCCTATTTTACTCTTAATACTTATAATTCCTACAACGTATTATATATTTAATTTTTTGGACTTAAATTATTTTTTGGACCTAGCTCATTTATTAAAAATAAAAAAATAAAAAAAAAAACAATCCCTCTTTCTGATTCTTTGCTTTCTAACCGGCGGAATTTCAGTAGCGCAGCTGCAACTTCTGAGCTATTTAGAATTCTGCCACAAAGGGGTCCAAAGGGAGAAAATGGAGACAAAAACAGTAATGTGGGGGTGGGGCAAGCAGACTCGGTTCAGTCAGTTACACCTTTAGTTTCTGGTTCTGTTAATACTGATGGGTACTTTACAGCAGAAAAAAAATCCGCAGTCACTGTACCCCTTTACCCTTCTGTTATTCCGCCTGTAAGTGAGGCTGTTGAGGTTAATAGAAAAAGTTGGTGAGCTACAGTAGTCCTTGTAGTACAGTTAGTTTTATTGTTCTTTGTTATTATATTTAACTTTGTGATATTTATGTTTTTATTGTGCTGTTTCTGTTATAGTTTAGTTATAACTCTTGATCTAACTTTTGCTTCTGTTTTTTCAGAAGAAATAATAAAAGAGCAGTTGGAAAATTTATTTTCCTTAATTATAACAGCATTTTCATGTATTTATGTAAAATTAAGTGATATTTTACCATTTAATACTATTTACTGTGATCCAACCGATAAAGATAATAAAATTGAAAATTCTGATGTAGTTACCGGAAACATTTCTCCTAATGGTGAAAAAAGTCAAAGTTCTTCATTTGAAAGTGGAGATGAAACTCCTAAAGGTATAAGAAGTCAATCACCAGTAAGAAGTCTATCACCAGAACAAAGTCAAGCACCAGAACAAAATCAATTACCGGTACAAAGTCAAGCACCAGAACAAAGTCAAGCATCAGTAAGAATACAATTACCAGAACAAAGTCAAGCACCAGTACTAACAAGGGAAAGTTTAAATCAAGAGATTGAGGCACTAATGACTAAGGAGCAGCTAAAAGCTATAGATCCTGAAGTAGTTGCTTTTAAGACCCAAAGGGCTATACCTATAATTAAAGAAGAACTTGATCCATTTAAAGATTTATTTACACAACCAAGGTATAAAGAACCAGAAGATTTATAACCTATATAACAACCCCAACCTTTACAAAAAGGCAAAGCCACAAGGGAAAAACCACAAGGCTTCACCCTCCAAAAGGGGCAAAGTATCATAACCATAACCCTACCTCTATTACAACCAAAACCTCTGACTAAACTTATATTTGTGGCGTAGTTGGTTGTCTGCTTTGCCTTATTCTTATTCTTATTATTATTCTTATTCACTAAAGCACAAGTGTGCCTGACGTAAAGGTGGAGCGCAAGCAGCAAGCAGGAACAGATAAAGAGAAATGAAGAAAAGCAAAAAGGTGTGCGTTTGCTGTACTCTAGTTCTGTATGGGCTAAGGCTGAAAAAGCATTGCTACAACATAACTCAGGCTTACACCTCGAACTTTAGCACTGTAGTATAGTCAGAAGTTATACGTGATAAAGTAGGGACAAGTACTCTTTATTGCTTTTTCATAGTCCTGCTCTGCATTCTTCGTATTTTACGAAGAAGCAGCCACGCCTTCTTGTGATTAGTGTTTTATTACTTATTTTGTGTGTGTTGCATACTTTGTTTTTCTTTACTACGCTTACCCAACCTTTTTTTTCAATTTTAGGCCTTAAAGGAAACAAGGTCTACTCATTAAATAAGGATAAGGCAAGGTTAATGTTATTTTGTTGGTTGCTTGCACTACATTGCTGCTGTAAAGGTGGTTAATCCAAATAGATCTATGTTTCAAATCTTTGGTAGTGCTGCATAGCTGCCAGCAAAGCAGACTAGTGCTATAGTCCCTTACTGCTTTTGCAGGAGAAAATATTGCTTCCTATCCTTTCACTTTCTTTTTTTGGCGCCTATGCTTCCCAGCCAAAGGGGGCTTGTTTTTAATTTTCTTTTTTTTTGTTTGTTTGCGCGGAATTGGTAACTCTGCATCCCTTTCTCCCTTTGGACTATGAAGGCGAAGCAGAGAAGGAAGCCAGTAGTTTTATACTTAAATATAGTCAGTTTTTTGAAATATTTCTGTTATAACCTAGCTTGCGCTCCTTTATTTCCTAGGCTAACAAGAGTCTTTCCACTAATTTATATTTATTTGGAAAAAACACCAAAAAGTACAAAACGGTACGCAAAAAAGTATTGAAACTTATAATATAGTATACTTTATATTTTTAATAAATTAACCAATAAAAAACTAACTAATTTTGAACTAATAATATAGTTTAAAAACTTTAGTTCTTTCTAAATTAGGTAACCCCTTTTTTAATTAACTTTAACTTTGGCTGGCTTCCTTTCCTGCTTCGCCTTCATAGTCCAAAGGGAGGGAGGGATGCAGTGTTTATTGCCACAAAGTAGAATAAAAACAACCATACCTTAACGTTCCACAGTATTTACAACCCCACATTTTAATTTTTTAGGGTAAACCGCTTTATCTCGGCGATACATAGCAAAAGAATATATGTACCAGGACCTCTATGATTTATTTACAGTACTTGTATTCTACCTTGTTTTAGCAATTTAGTAAGAATAAAACTCTGCTTTAGCAGCCTGCTACAATTTTAGTACATAAGTACAGCAACCCTTCTCTCCGCTAGGACTAGGTCTAGGGCTAAGGCTAGCGGCCCGGCACTAGCTGCTTTAGTTCTACCCGAGTTAGCTGCGTTAGTTGGTGGCGAAGCAGCGAAGCAGGAAAGAAAAATAATTTATAAGTCCTTTCAAACTTCTTTAATATTAATTTTAGTTCACTTCTTAAAAAAAACTTTTCTTTTTATTAGAGTTGTATTCACTAATTTAAACAAAGGGAAATGTTTCTACTCTTTTTATTATAACTTAGTGAGAGCTTCTGCGGGTAAACAATAAAGCTAATATTATATAAAAGAACTATAAAAATTTTGTTATTTTTTATTTGCCTACGGCCTCACACCTGTAACTATAAGCACCGAATACTTAATCAGCGCTACAATTATAACATAAGCTGCACTTTAAACGTACTTAAGAAAATAAAATCAACATAGTACTAGTAATTTTCCAATAAAATTTTTGGTTTTTTTTTTGCTTAATTCCCACCTTGCCTAGCAACAGCAACATCCTGACCTTGTAACCTTTCTCCACCTTTAGTGGCCGCCTTACTGCTTTGCACTAAAGGAACCGGGAGCATACTCGATTTGCCTTGCCTCATTATTTTTTACAGCCAGACCCGCGCTCTGCTCCGCCTTCGAAGTACGAAAAAAAAATCAAAGCCAGAGTCCGAAGGCCGAAGGCCGAAGGCCGAAGAAGAGATAGAGACGTGTGTATGTCCTATATTAGGCGAAGCAGGGCAAGCAGACGTGTAACGTTTGTTCTACGGCAAGCAACCTACAATGTGAAAAGCGCAGAAAAGGGCAAGTTTAAAAATTATAATAAAATTTTTCATAGTTAGCAAACATTAATATATTTAAATCATCTACACTATGCTACCTTATACGCGCTTTCGCTAAATACTTCTGCGTTAACTTTAGCTTACTATAAAGTTAAGATTTTTAATTTTGAGGTAAATACTTCCATCTCTAAGTTGGTTATAGTTTGAAAAGATAGGTTTGTTTGAATAACGGGTGTCGACTATGCTTCGTTAATCGCAGCAGTCTAGCTAAGAAACTAATGGCTATATGAGTATATCACTGTTTATTTCACGTATTAACTTGTTTTATATAAAAGCGTGCCGGCCTCCATTAGGTTGGTGGATCGTAAGCGCAAGCAGGCTTCAACTTTAAAGGCATAGATGCCGTGCTAAATGTTTAACTTTTTCTTTTTAAATTGCGGTGCAACAAATGCTGTGTCGTACTAACTACTTTAGCTGTTACAAACAGTAATTGTAACTAAAAACTCAGACGCTGTCCCCTAACTCACGCTTGATTTTTAATTTTACATGGCTGATTCGCCCCCTCCTTCGGCAGGCGGCCCCCTAATAAAGTAAAAACTGTTATGTGCAGCCCTACAGAGTGCGCAAGCACAATTAACTAACAAATAATGTTTTTTTATTTTTAAATTACACCTTAGAGGACTCGAACCTATAACCCTTCGTTTCGAATACGACCGCTCAACCAATTAAGCTAAAGGTGTTAATGTTTTTTTTTCTTTTATATTTTAGTTACTTTATTCTCTTTTAGTTACTTTGCGAAGACTTTTAAGGTATTAAATGGCTCTGCAATCTTTGGTTTGGAACATTATATACAAGGTTGGACTAGTTATTGTTCTCGCCTTTGGCGCTTGCTCTCCAACTACAACCCTCTATTTTTTTTTGTGTAAACTGGAACGCAAAGCATTAGTCCCGGCACCTAGAGGTAACTAGCGGTACCTAAATGCAACACCCGGCACCTATGCTATTTTTTTTTTTGAATTTTTCTCTGCTACGCTGCATTTCTCCCTTTGTTGGCTGCCTGCTTTGCCTTATCCTGCTACTGCTTCGCCTGCTCCTTCGGCAGCACACAAAGGGAGAAGCAGCATAGCAGGCGAAGCAGGAAGCCTACCTATCCTTTAAGGAAGGCAGGCGGCTTGTTCTTTATGGCTGGCGCGCAAATTCCTTTTGGGGACTGAAACATAAACGTAAACAGGGTAGCTTGAGGAGGTAGTGAAGTCGACAATTTTTTGAACTTATTTGCCTGAGCACTGTTGTTTGTGCAACTACCTAAAGGGTAATAAAAGAATGCTTTAAATTAGCAGCCTTGCTATCTGCTATTATGGGGTTGTCTACCTAAAGCAGATAGGTATACCAGGCTTAGATTATTCAATACGCCCCTTTCTTTTACTACGTAGCGTGATAGTGTTGTTGACGCTCTATGTTTTATCCACGGGTTCAGTCTACTCACTTAGGTTGACCCGGTAGTCCTACGTAGCTTTCAGTACAGCAGCACTCCTTAAGTTTAAAGAAAAAGGTAAAAAAAAAAAAATAAGTTGACAGAGTCACTTCTTCTTCGGCCGTCTTACGTAAATTATATTTTTCCTTCTTTAGAAGGAAAAACGGTATAAAACAATAAGAGGTAAGAGGGTCTGCATAACCAAACCAGTCCTTCCAGATCTGCAGAAAAGCATGTCTAACCCGATCTTGCCCTATCTAACTCAGTCTAAGCAAAACTAAGCCAGTTTAACCTAGTCCCTGTAAAAAAAAAGAAGAGGTTGTTATTTATCAGCTGTGCCAGTTTAATGTCTTATATATTTAAGGCCGGCCTAATATTTTTACATTTACCTAAGTTCTAATTACCTTGCGCTAGCTCTGTATAAATAGTTGGTTTGTGTATAAGTACCTGAGCAGGCAGAAAGTTATGGGATTGTATGTATGGCAATTAAAGGTTGCATTGCAACGTAACACAACAAAAAGATAAGTGAAAAGATGCTCGAAAGGTACATGGGTTTAGGTGCCCTAAGTGTAAACAAGAAAGAATAATTGTGTTTGCGGAAGTCTGTTTAATTATATGTTAAGCTTTTTTTTTTAACGTCCCTACACTAGTTGTCTCTCTACCTGCGTTAGCGCGAGTACACAAAGAAAGGGCGGGAACAGCTGTACGTAGCAGCGTAGTATCGTAGCAACAAAAGGGAGTGTAAACCTACAGTAAAGATAACTCGAAAAAAAAAATAGTGAATAAAAGGAAGATAGTGCAAGATTAAAGCAAATGTAGTAATAGTTGTAACCGAATTTGCATTTAGTTATTATTATAATATTAATTTTATTTAATTAGTAGTCTATATTCTTGTACTACAATTAAATCTTTGATGCTACATACAAACAATTTAAACAAACCTTAAAGGTTAAAGACCACCACTTAAAACTATGTACTGTATCGGAATAGTACAAAGATATGTGGAAGCTTGATTATTTATTTTTAAATACTATGTTAATAGGCTTGTACTATACTTCTAGGGCGCTTCCTTTTTTTTTTTATAACAGTTGCAGCTATAAAACAGTTATAAAATATATTGCACATAGCACTGCAGAAGGTGCTCATAACAAATCATTAATAACTTTTCTTCCCATGCTGCCCTACGCTTTCTGTTAAAGAAGTAGGCAAGGAAAAGCACGAGCTAACGCTCTCTACCTTTAATTTTGTAAAGGGTTACTTTGTTCTGTCACTAAAGTACGCTAGTACAGTAATAAACAGAAGTAAGCAGGGTGCATGGTGCTCCACAACTAAAAGGCAAGCAGGCAAGGCAGCAAAATAATGCAATCCCCCCAAAGCAGGTAAACAATAACCACTAATATAAACATAAGGTTTTAGAGCCACACTCTACCTGTTTAAGCAAGCATGAGTATAGCTTTCTCTTTTTAAACAGTAAAATTCAAGACATTTGCTGTAGTTTTTTAGTCAAGTTTTAATTTAAAGTTAGTAAATGGTATAATCGAACAGTTACAGGTCGCTCTTATATGAGCAGCAGACTCTAACTATAAAGAAATAACAGCAGCGCTGCGTAGGCGAAAACTACCTAAAATAGTTTCTCTCTTTAGGTTTTGCTTTACCTTGTATTTCTGTTGTATTTTTGCAGCTGTCTCCACTACCTGCTTTTACTAAAGGAGAAAAAAAAGCCTTTATCTTTATTTGCCTGGACTATGTTAGCAGTGAATCGCTACTTTGCACCGTACTGATTTAAGCCGTACTGCTTCTACCATTCTCCCTAATATAGAAAAGAGTTGTAGGCCTTCTCTCCTGGTACGTACTGCTTGCCCCATCTATCCTACCGAATAAGGCTAGCACGCCTCCTTTTGTATTAGCCCTAGCGACCCCTTAAGCACAGGCCCTAACGACCCCTGGTGGGCCTGTCCACTTTAGTGGCGAAGCAGAGCACGGCGCGCTTCTTTATAGTCCTTTCCGAAGTAACCTGATTAGCAAAGCATAAGTAGGTAAGGGTGGGTGTATATTTTCACCCAAGGACCAACCTAAAGGAGGGCATAATTAGTGTAAAATATGTTAATCGTCTATCTCACACACAGCTGCCAAACTAAAGAAAAAAGCTGGGCTAGATCCATTTTTTTTTTTGCGCTTTCCTTACTTGCTGGGTTGTATCTTGCTTATTTTTAAATATAACTTTTAAATACACTCTTCCTCCGTACGAAGCGTCAATCAAATAAAACTATTGTTCCACCCTAATATAATGCTATATAACATTATAAGCAAGTGGCGGTATACTGTTACAGTATGTTAGTACAACAGCTCTTTCCTGCTTTTGCATATAAGAAAAATAATCAAGCCAAAGAGAGGAAAGCAAAATGTCAAGACAGTAAATGTTATTTACTGCTTCTAGGTAACAGGTGACATTATTGATTTAGCGTTAATTGTTAACGCTACTCCATCTTTATTTAGATAAGTACAAGCCCCAAGGTGACACCCCACCTTTTGCTCCTGCGGCTGCCGTGCTAGGAGGCAAACGCTTGCTCCAATCCTCTTTTAAGGGTGTAGGTCAGGTAGGGCAGAGCAGAGCAATGTATTTTCTTTGTGCTTTTCTGCGTAGCAGTTCTAGGTCAGGCCACAAACTGCTAAATAGAGCATAAAAAAATTAGACACAGAGCAAAGGTAAAGGAGGTACTGCTCTGCATAAAGCATAATTAAACTACAACTACGTTACGCGGAGTCTTAACTATTATTAACAAAGGGGTTAAAACTATAAATAAATTTATTTAGAATTTTTAATTAATTTAGTAATATATAATCTAACCATTTGAGTATATGTAAATGTAGGTAAAATATATTTAGAAAAAACATAAACTAAAATAGCTAAAACTAGAAAAGAAGATAATAACTGATTAAAGAAAAAAAATGGGATTAATTGTGGCATTTATTTAATAAATTTTTTGTATTAGCTCTAAAACTTAAAAGAGCTATCTCTGTGAGGATTTTTTACGATTCTTTCCTGCTATTACAGTATTACAGTAAGACTCGTTGAGGCTTGCTACAGCATCAACCTTTGCTTTTAATTTATTAGTTTTTTAATTTATAGTTTTTCTGTTATCGGCTTTTCCAATTATTTAACAATAACTTGCTTAATAGGTCAGGTGCGCAATTATTTAATTTAGCAACCTGCGTTTTACATATCGCTGTAGTCCTATTTCCTGCTTAATTAGCTGTTGTTATTATCTTAAAGAAGTAATTTTTTTTTTTCAAGGCCTTTGATACAATTTAATAGCAGTGCCTGTCATATAGCATGACCGTGATTTAATTACTTACTACTTTATATAAGCCTGTTGGTTAAAGAGCACAGCATAACTAAAAAAGCAGTTATAAAATTTACTCCTACTATTTATTTTCCACAAACAGTGTTCATAGTGCAGAGCACTTAACTAACAAAAGTAATAGTAAGCGCCGCTCCCTTTGGACTATGAAGGCTAGCGCAGGAAAAGTAAAACTAACGTTCAGGCTTTGCCCTTCCTTTTACCTCAAAAATGCGCATAATAACATTCTTACGTGGTTGTTTGCTCCTACCTTAAGGTAGTCGGCCAATAAAAGGCAAGCCTCCGGCCTTTTTTAAAGGATAGTTAGGCTTCCTTCCCTTCCCTTTCCTTTCCTTCCCTTCCCTTCCCTACCCTTCCCTACCCTACCCTACCCTTACCTGCTTCGCCTCCAAATGGAGAAAGGGAGAAAAAGATGCAGCGTAGCAGTAGAGTGGGCACAGTCAACGTAATTAGGAAAAATAAGTGTAGTGCTGTAACTGAGCCTTAGATAAAAAAGACTTGGTTTTTTAATTCCACTAAGAGTGAAATATATAATTTTTGTCCTTCTATTCATTTTTTTGTAGTTTGCGTAGCAGCCGCCACCCCGACAAAGCAGGAAGGCACCACCAAAAAAGAGTATGTAAAACTGCGAGGACTATGAAGAAGTACACCCATCTTTTTATTTCTGTCATTAACTACGCTCATATTAGTGCAAAGGAAGAGTACAAACCTATATAGAGAATCTATATCCATTTTTATTTTAACTAGAGCAGCTATATGCATACCCTTTACTATATGTACCTTTGTCATTTTTATTTAGAGGAAATGGAGCACTACTCTGCACCTCCTGCAATTTTTAGATTGTAAAAATTTTTTCGTTACTTTCTGCACTCAAAGAGAGGGTTTTTAATGCAATATATTAGCT